CTTTTGTATTTTTGTTTTCTTTTCTCCCTCCTTAATTTTTTCGATCATTGTTACTCCTCACCTCGCGATCTCCATTCTTTTTTTTTTCTTTTAAATTCTCTTCGCGTGTTGTTTCTCCCTTTTTAAATGTTCGGCCCCGTTATTTCACACCTTCTCCTATCACCCCCCTCCCCCTGCCCTTCCAATACTCAAACCGAAATTACGAAAAGCATCAAATTTTGTTCGACTCGTTGCCTCTCGATTCATCCCCCAACACTAAACTTGGAATTTTATGTTCATTAATTAAGTCGTGTTATGCTTTTAAGAATTTTTCTACTTATTATTATTATTATTATTGTTATTATTATTATTATTATTATTATTATTATCATCATCATCATCATCATCATCATCATATTCGGGCAACCGAACGGTTTTCTGAAGCAATCCGCGAACGATCCTTTCGCGTACGTGTTCCTCACCCTCGCTTGAGCGTAGTAATTCGGCAGAGATCTCGGTACGGAAGTGCCGTCACCTGCTTCACCACCACCACCACCACCACCACCACCACCACTACCACCACCGCCACCACTACTACTACTGCTACTACTACTACTACTGCTACTACTACTACTACTACTACCACTACTACTACTACTACTACTACTGCTACTACTACTACTATAATTATTATTATTATTCTTATTACTGATCATATAATTATAATTGCGACTACTATTATATTATTATTTTTTAATCGTAGATACCTTTAATAGAGATATATTAATTTAAGAATATTTAATCGTTAAGATGCCGCATTTTTTTATTTTTGTTTCTTAAGTTAAAAAAGACAGCGTGTAGATCTCAAGATAATATATCGGAAAAGTTGTTCGATTTATGTTCGAGTAATGATTCATCGCACGAGTGTCCAACAGCTATTTCTCTTCACCGTACAAACCTCCTTTCTTATTAAACTACAGTCTTTTTTATCCAGTTGGCTTCAATCGAGAGGAAACGAGATTGCTCGTTGTACTTTAGTAACAAGTGGTAATGAAAGCGTTCGAATGAAAAGAAATTCGTGATTTGAATTTCGAACCAGTTCCGACTGCATAGGTTTCGCGAACCTCGCCTTGGCTTTTTTCTTTTTTTATCTTTTTTTTTTCCTTCTCTTTTTAATCCTCAGATATTTTACATTCGTTACACGTAGTAAAATTCTTTAGTGCCAAAAAAAAGAAAAAAACTAAGACAAAAAACAAAAATATTTAAAAAAAAAAGGAAAAGGAACAAAAGGAAGCAAAAAAAAAAGATGAACAACAGACTGCATAATTTAACGAACGGAACGAAGAAGAAGAGAAGCACTTCGACCGCGACCATTTTTTTTTTCTTTTTTACGTTTTATTTTTAGGTTTTATTTTTCATTAATATTTATTTAATAACGATAATTTGTTCATTGAGTTCCGTTTATACCTGAACATTAAGGAGACAAAAAAAAATACACGGAATATCAATGATTCTAAAGTTAAGAAAAAAGAATACGCAGAAAGAAGTAAAAAAGAAAGAAAGGGAAAAGAAACATACACACGCACGCACGCGCGCCGTCCACACACGCATGCGACACACACATACACACACACAGACACGCGCACGAAAAAAATACGACAAAAGAAAGAATATTAAATGATTATAAAAAAAATCCTTGCTTAGTCAGTTAAAGTACAAATGTTTAAATGTATTCTATGATTAGGTGATAAGTGTAAACGAAGGAGTAAGCGTACATGTGAGGATGAAAGGTGCAAGAAAGTGAGGGAGAGCGAAACGCGTAGCTGCGTATAAACTTGGTTTCATTCCTTAATAAGCCTCTGATATAGCTTTATTTATATTCGCATTAGTTACTTGACGTTTAATAATACTTAAAAGATGAGGCGGGCTGATAGAGGGCGAAGTAAAAGAAATGTGACTTTTAGCGCGCACGCGCACGTATACAAGACCGCGTTTACTTTGATATTAACGATAATAAGACATACGTTCCTTTTTTCGGAGATATTTTCTTTGACATATCAAATTGACCACAAATGGACACACTAAGAAACCGTTGCATTCCATCGGCGTCGATGCACGCTCTTCAATGTTTCCCGTGATCTCTCTCTGTGTTTTTTCACTTTTCCAACGACAAATTGGAGCCTCGATGTTTCAATACAGAGGTATCTCCTGTCTATGGCAACATTCAGTTTTAGCCTGGAAGACAGTTTTAAAACGTCCTCTATACGAAATAGAAACAATTTTATGGGGAAATTCTGTATATTCATTAACAACAAATGTTATGTCTGAATAGAATGATTCTTAGCTTAGTGTTTGGCTCGGCGTTTCTTAGAAATTGAATTTCCTATTGATTCTTCAGAAGAACTAACGGAAACGAATGACATAAGATGGAGATTGCAAGTGAGAATGTTCTGCGCAATGAATATTGGAATGGTGAAAATACAGCTCATTCGATGTGCAATGTTGCAATAATGTTATTTATAGTTTATACCTTATTATTTATAAGCTGTACGTTAGATACGTTAGAAAAGATCGTGAATAATGTTTCATCGCAGTCGAAGCGAACGAATTTCACTCTAATGTTTCTTTATTCACAGTTTCAGTTTTAGGCAGAAAAACTTACTTTGCTACATTTTACATAGAATAAGGTATTTTTCTGCGTTGGTTTTTTTCTCTTTCTAAATACTTGTGTTTCTTCAAATTTGTTCATTTATTTCCAAATCTTGTACCTGGGAATGGCAGCTCCAGAATCATTCTAGTCATAAAGGGTTCAAAAAAGATCCAGCCTTGAGCTTCTAATTCAAACTACAATGGATTATCAAGACCTGTTGCATTCCTTGTTAACATGGAGGACATTGTAAAGGAATTTGATTGTTCCGAAAAGTGTTGACAAATTTCTGAATCCAGATCTGTTTTGGATTTAAACTGTTCATGAGCTTCTACGAATAATTCCACGATAAAATGTCTTCTAGAAGAAAAAAAAAAAAAAAAAAAAAAAAAAAAAAAAAAAAAAAAAAAAAAAAAAAAAAAAAAAAAAAAAAAAAAAAAAAAAAAAAAAAAAAAAAAAAAAAAAAAAAAAAAAAAAAAAAAAAGAGAAGCGAAAGAAAACGTCGAGCCATATATTAAGTTGAATTACTATACTATACTGGAATTAAAATAAGGAACAATGTCTTTGAGGATAGGATTTAAAATAACAATATCTATTAGATATTGCGCGTACGTTTTAATTAAAGAAACAGAAAAGCAAGAAGAAAAGGAAAGAAAGAAATAGTAAGTGGAACGAAGAGTCGATAATAAGCAGAGAAAAAAGAAATTCACACGGTTCGCTATGCGTATACCATGTTTTCCTGAGACCTCCATTGGTAATATTTTTTATTAGATGGGACTATTCGCGAAACTGAGATGGATTTTAACAAAAAAAAAAAAATGTTCCGATATGTTGTTTAAATACTTCAAAACTGCATAAAAGGATAGTACAAGACAAGAGAGAAATGGTAAAAATGCAATATGGAGAAAGCGTGTATTCCAAATATATTTTTTATATATGCTAATGGGATGCCAAGGAGCATGGTCGCATTATAAACATTAAAAAATGAAAACAATACTGTATTATTTAGCGTGAATTACACGTGCGGTTATATGCAAAAAATGCACAGACATATATTGACCGTGTAATCGATTGTCAGTTCCCCCGAGACTATTCAGCCTTTAGATAAGAAGAGCGATATCTTTGATGATTCTAATTTTAATCCCTCCTTGTGCCCTCCTTGTGCCCTCCTCCGAATTCCCCCAAAGTTTGTTAAACCTAGTCTTATATTTTATATATACACACAACACGCGCGCGCGCGTGCGCGCATACGATACGTAAGTGTTAAATTATTATGTACGTACGCGCGCGCGTGTGAGTGTGCGTGCGCGCGCGTGTGAGTATTATGCACAATACGCATATATATGTGTATATAATATGCGATGTCTCTCCTTTCGTTTAACAGGGATTCTCGCTTATTATTATATTATTATTACTACTATTATTAATATTATTATTATTAACGTCTTTTCTCTTCCTTTTTTCCTTTTTTCTTCTCTACGTCGGTACCTACTAAATTTTTAGTTTCATTTTTATATGGAATATTCAAATTTATGGTATTATACGTATACACATCTATATACACTTTTACAAACAACAATAAAATGAAAAAAATATAAAACGAAAATAAAATATTTTAATCTACATACTATATTAATATTATGTATTAAGGATATGTGGAGAACATTTGCTACTTATATATTTGTCAAATGTATCGCGCGCGCCATGCTTGGAAAAGTATTCTCGTGGGTCAGACGAAACTTGGGGGAGAGAGAGGAAAAGCAGATTGTTGCTATTGTTGCTCTGAATATTTTTTAGAGCTTTTGCGATGATGTTATTGTATAATTATTGCATTAAAACGCTTTTTTCGTTTTGAAATCGCATGTGTGAAGTTATTTTTAGAAGAAAGGAAATTCTCTCACCATTTACCTTGTCAATTCACCCAATATCGTCAGACCTTATATGGAGCACGTTTCCAAGCAAAAAAGAAAAAAGAGTTACTCAAACTAATGCAGTTCTTTGAAACATGTAGGAAACATACGTTCTTGTCTGCGTATAGGCTGCAAAATGCAATAATAAATATATTGTGATGCTCACGAAAGCACATAACATAATTTACCAAAATTGTAATGTTTAAAATATTTCATGTGATTTTGGAAACTGTTATATTTTTTATTTCCTGCTAATTGTTTAATTTGTAATGTTGTTCTTTGTTCTTTTTTCAATAAAGTAAGCAAACCAACTTTATTGTCATTCTACTTTTATTTATAATTATACCCCTTTCACATTAATCTAAAGCTATGACTTCTCAACTTTGTCAATTAGTCTTTCCAGATCACATGAATGGATGATAAAAACAAGGTATGAAAGTACAGGAAAATACATTTAATGCGTAGATACGTGTTTTTATTTTATACTTGTTGTTTCAGACAATTTTATGTACAGCAACTATTTTAACATTCAATCGGAATCAGAGTCTCGACGACCATATTGTTGCTTTGGTAGTTCTTCTTGCAATTCTAGGATATGTTCAATTGGTTGTGGTCTTCCATCGTCACCAATTCTACAAGGCTGTACTACACCTTCCCTAAAATACAAAATCTATCGTAAACTATCATATGAGGTACAAGTGGAATATTATATTTGTAAATGAATAATAATGCAGACTTTGTTAATTTATCAACAAGACCCACAAGTTGTAAAGCTTCATACTCTTTTTGTTCCTCTGTCATACCTTCCAAAGGATTAGGTTTCGGATGTTCAAAGCAACCTGTTACTGGATTGATCCTCCAAAGTAAATATATATTTTATTAACATCATAACAAAAAATTATTAAAGTTTTAATTAAAGTGAGATACTTACTGCTCTTTATGTTTCAAATACTCCTCAGTTTCGCTGTCTTCTGATTCAGAAGAATAAGCTGATTTTTTCTTATTGGGTCCCAATAATCCTTTATTTGCAAACATCCCAGCGGCGTTCCCATATCCCGTATATTTTACCATGCGAGCAACTGGAAGTGATATTAATATTATTTCAAGGGTAAGCCTTTACTTTTTTACTTTACTTTAATACTTTATTACTTTCTTATATTTACTAAATATTTGTAATCATACCGTTTTCTTTACAGAGTATAAATAAGAACTCAGCAACAAGATCTCGTAATTCTACTAAAGGAGAAGTTAATAATTTACACAATTTTGCCCTCAAAGTGGTTCCTTCTTCTGGGCGATGCATTACATCCTTCAGAGGAGGTAAAATCTAAAAGGAGTAACTTATGCAATATAACTTGTGCAATACATTTAAATATTCTTAAATATCTAATTAAAATGAATTTTTACCTGTAGCCTAGTATATTTTCGTATTAATCTTTCGGCCTTAATCATTCCGATAAAAGCAATGATAATTGGACTAAGGTTTCCTACTAAATCATCTTTACAATTTAGTCTTCTGTCTAAAAATTTTAATAAAATAGATACTGCAGTTATATCTACATTTTGGAATATTTGTTTATGTTTCTCTTTAGTATGCGGTATGATTATTGAGTAACAGTTATATGGCATTGCAGTTAATAAATTCACAATGTGACTGGAATAAAAATTAATATAGTATAATAAGGTGATATAAATATTTTGTATTATAAAACAGAATAAATACCTTTGAAGATCGTCTTCTTTCTCACATTTGGATAACAATAATTTATTCAAAACTGACATTAAATTATTTTTTTTCTTGTCTTCTATTGTATTATCTGAATATATGTACAAATTAAATAATGCTTTTAAAACTTCACACGCTAATGTTGCATTATCTTCTTTTATAATGTGTAATTTGTCTTGGTCACATTGAATACTTATATTCTCTAACATTTTTATCAGACACTCGTCCCCATTTAATTTTGTTTTGACAATTTTCCTAGTTGAAATGTTTAAAGCAGTAATTAGAAATATAATTCTTGTATCAAATAACATTACTTCACGTGGTGTGTCGTCACCATATTTTCTCATGCGTTCAATTAAACATGGCAAACAAGGTGTAGTTGATATTACTTCTTGGATCTTTGTACTATTAAATATCAAATTGCATAACAATTTGAGAGCTTCAATAGTAACTGCAAAATAAATAAAATACAAATTGAAAATATTTCACATTACAATAGCTTTTTTTAATAAATATAACATCCTTACCATTATTATAAGTACTCTGGTTAACATTTATATTCTTTAGAGCTGCATTACCTAATACAATATCTAATCTTTCATCTGTGATTAATTCATTTAACATTGTCCTGTCTCTACTGTGTTAATGGAGAAAAACAACAGAATTACTTAAGAATAATAGCAAGTGTTAGGTCTACATTTCGAATCAATAACAGAAAGTAACTTCAAAAAAATTTTGGTGTTTCGCTAAAGATAAAAGTGTATTTATTCAATAATGACTTTCTTCATACAAATTTTATATATGTAAAAAAGAAAAGTAAGATTACATATGATATCTTATATGAGAGTATGTAGTCTTACTATGGCATTACCTAAGTATTCGCAAAGTTGACAAACAATTATAATTAATGGATGATTGTGCATTACTTGATAGACAATGAAACAATGTTTCCCATAGTTTTTCACGCAATTGGTCATTATTCAATTCTTCAAATACAGTCCTGATTTCATACTGAAATTACAAAAAAAAACAATCTATACTATTACTCTTCATAAGAATCATTAAAACATTTAAACTTACATTTTTCTGAAAAGTGATGATATCTTTCGAAAAGTCATCACTTGAGTCTGAAATTATTTTTCGCACTAACGCATCCATGTTAGTATTAACATACTATACTTTTAAAAATTTAAACGAAATTTTATTGTGTGAAATTAATGGGTTTTAACGTCTCAACGATGTTCCACACAAGAATTGAGGTCACCATGTAAGATAACGTAGTCGAGCGCCATCTGGAAGAAACCGGGAACTAAGAAAAAATATTAAAAGATACCAGAAATCAACTGCAATTTAAATTTCATGGCGAGAATTATGATTTTCTCATTCTTAATAATTTAAACTCAAAAGAAATTAGATTTAAATTCTATTTTTATTATCTACGTTGTTATGCGAAAATATTTGGTTATTTAGATAATTTGTACTATAAGATAGAATTTTAATTACCGATTCGATAACTGGTTCAATACCGTTTCACAAATTAACAAGTAGACTTCCAATCTTGTTTTGATTTTATAAAGGTAGTTTAAAAAGTTTATTTCAATAAAGTACAAATTTTTTAATTATTTGACATTATACAAATTTATAGATTTAATAAACATTTTAATGGAACCACCGAAAGCCTTCATAAACATAATGTTATTTGAGATTTCAAAAATTAATAGATTAAGGGGCGATTAAAAAAATAGAAAGATGTAAGTACGATGAAATCTGAGATGTATTATTTTATTCGGAAATTCTAATGGATAATACATTATAAATTATTCTGATATCGATATGCATTCATATATATTCATATATACTATTCATATACACTATTAATGTATCAAATTATATGTAAATGTATATATATGTGTATCCATACACATACGTGCACACATATAGACTGATTTTTAATGTTTTATTCTTATATGATATCTTATTTTGTTTTTGACAAAATTAATGTTGCTTGTAATGTTAATTATTATTTGTGTATGATACTTATATTTAACTACACATTACAGATTGATAATTCTAAATATTAATATTATCACTGCTAACTTATTTATTTTTATTTACAGTTCTCAAAAATAAGGCCAGCTCTATTAGTGACAAAACTTCTAGTTTACAATACACTTTAAAAAAAAGTTAGAGTTAACCACTCTCACAAAATTTATCCATATTTCCTTTCAAGTGACAGAAGAGATCCTTATTATACGTAATGCTTATGGCTCGCAACATTTTATCGACGATTGACCCTGTAACACATATAAGGGCCTTTTTCTAGGGGAATCGGGAACTCTGAGAAAGGGCGTGGAACTTGCGATCAAGGGGAAACAGGTTTCTATTCGCGGAGGCTTCCACTTACCGGGCGTCGACTCCGTGGTCGATGCTCTGGCGATCTGGTTCAACGACTTTCTTCTCCGCATTCACAACAAGCTACAAACATTTCTTTGACCTAACTTGTGCGCGCGCGGATTACATCATATTCCTGTAATCGCTCGGCCACCAAGTTTTTTCTTCGCAGACGCCACGATGCATATAGACATCGAGAAAAATGTTAGTACTATGAAAATCGTGCATTAACGTAGTATTTTCCATTAAAATGTAATCATTTTTTTTTTTAGGTTTCTTCATTTAAGGTATACAATTTTGAACAATTTTGTGCAGAACTTTTTACTTAAGTAATCAAGTATGAGTTTTGCTAAAATTATATAATTTGGAAATAAATTTCGATGATCAGAAATTGAAAAATGAGGAATCATCGTTTAAACAAAGTATCCCTCTTCCATCTCTATGTGCTATTTTTATCGTTTCACCCTCCATACTTTCGCACAGTTCTCTCTGCGTTACAAAGGATTTTCCGTCACTTAGTCCGACGCTATTTTTGACCGTCACCCGCGACAGAGGTAATGGTTGAAGAGAAAGGAACGAAAAAAGCGAAAATAAAAAGAAATAATACTTCGATCGCATCGGATGTGCACATTAGGCGTAGCAAAGAAAAGAGCAACAATACAACAGGTGTCTCATACAGGAAACACGCTAGCATTGTCAAGCTCCAAGGACATATTGCTATAAAAACTCCAGTATTCCATTCGAGCAGACATAAAAAGGGTGCGGGAGAATAGAGGAAGAATGACCTTGAAAGGTAGGGTTGTCCAACGGGCAGGAATAACGCACGCATAGATGCGTAAATTATGTGCCACTTTCTAAACGAGTCAAAAGCAGTTTTCCTGTCTTTCTTTACTCTTACAAAGGTATTGTTAATAATTCCAGTTAAGTGTTTGGATATAGAGAACAACAGAAATTTGTTCTCATTATAATTAATTGTAAATTGTAATTAGATTAGAGCTTAGTAATTATATTTTCAATAATTGTTGAGATTTTATTGATTTAGGAATGAAATTAAATATTGCTTTATATTTTAATTGTTATAATTGAAATATAGTTAATTACAGAATTCAGATAACAATTCGCATGTAAAATCGATTATAGAATTATTATTTATTATTGCGAAATAAACTTTTTGGGAAATAAAAGTAGAGAACAAATTAAATTCATAAAGAAAAGGAAAACAACAAATGGATTTCGCATAAATGTATATTATCATGAATTGACTCGTGAATATTATTTAACATCTGGTTACTAAAACCCCAAATCATAGAGTTAGTTTTCCCAAAATCGTACGAAAGTCGAGAGGGGAGGGGAGTCTGCGTGTGTGCATGCGTGTTGCGTGCAGTAGGCTTACGGTGGATGCACTTTTGGGAAATCATGCATATACGTGGCAACATCGCACTGCGGGCTCACATTCCACGTGATCAGGACCGGTTTGCGGGTGTCGACCCACTGACACTCGTCTACCACAGATAAACCTTGGCCCTGCATGTAGAATACACCTTACTTGTGTCTCTTTTTATTGCAACACTAGAAACGTTCTAACTACTGATCCATAGAATACCACTAGACAATCAAAATGGCCGCCAGATGTCATTTTACAATTGTTAAGTTACTATTCTGAAATATTTATTTTCAAATATTGCAAAATGAACCAATTTGTAACGATTTAATTGAAACTGGTTAATTTCTAATAATAAATTTAGATTCTCAAATTTAAGAATGAAGTAAAATTCCATTGTTTGGAACAAAAGCTTTTCAATCATTACAAACGAGTAAAATTACAAATTTGATCATTAGCAAAAATCAATCACAATTATTATCACATAAATAGACAAGAAGAGTTTGATTGTCATATTAACACCTTGTATAAATTATAGGTATATGTAAAAAGGCCTTGGAGTACATTCGAAGGCCATTGACCGGAGGGATCCCTGATCCATGATCAGCTACCTGCTGATACATTGTTGCTTATATAATAGCGAAAGTATTGTCAGTCTGGTGGGAACCCTCCGGCGTCAAGTGCAATTATCCCGTGTAACCGAGTGCACTTTGTTCCTACTATTCAAGATCTGCTTTGCCCTGTGGTATGGCTATTCATTGCAACTACCGGGTGCAACGCCCCATTTACCTGCGCCATCGACTTCCACGTGTAATCCTATGTTTATCCTCTTCTTTTAAAGCGCGAGAAGTATTACACCAACAGTAACTATCACTGAAAAAGTAATTGTCGTTATTGATAACTTAAAATAGGTGATCTTGTAAAATATCTTTTTTATTCAATTTTATGGAATAATTAACTAGGAAACGTATAAGGAAATCATTTTAGATTCAATAACTGAGTACATATCTTTTTATTATTTTGCAATTTTTACTATTTTATATTTACTAAAATTAAATACTAAATATAATTAAAATTACATTAATTTAAAAATTTTTTTAAAAATTAATAATAATACTACAGAAATTAAAATTTTTTCCTTTGCTTGAATGATTAAAGTAAAATTTTGGGACGGTTTTCTAAGGAAGTCAGGGGGACGAGAAACGCATGTAAAGAAAAACAGGTTCTTCGAGGGGATTGAAAAGCCGCTTGCATCCACCTTTTTAGACGAGACTGGCTTAGTCCCACGTAAAACTCTTCTCTCTATAGAAAATTTACACTTTTACGGTTTTTCCATGTGTTTTATATAAATAGGGATTCGTTATACATAGTTCGTCTACCTTTATTTACAATAATTAACATAATTTAATACTTCCAAAAATTAAATTGAAATTATTTATACAATCTTTTGTTTCATTTTGTCGGGAAAATGATCACAGTTCTAGTGCGATTGCAGCAAAATACGCAAGAATACAGAATCAAGAATTCCATGCTATCTGTAGAAGTGATAAGTAAACAGTTGGTATCCCTCTATCATTGCTTTGCTCACGATAGATAATGTGCAACGTTGCTATAGTTATCACTAATATATTCCCTTCTTTGCTCGTTTTCTTTTTTCTCCATTTCAGAGTCACTAACTTCCCTTTTAATGGCTTCTTGGGAACGCGTGCAACATCCCATGGAAGCTTTTCGCTCGTCCTGCGTTTTTTTAGTGAAAATCCGGTCGCACTGAAACAAGAGGGAGCAGGCTGCTGCTAAATCTGGAGCTTGGGCTGGATGTTTTATTAAGTGGAACTGTGACACCACCGAAAAATTTCATGCATAAACCGAACACTATGACTCCAATTCCATTTACAATAAGGCAAAAAAAGCTTGAAAATGAGCAACAAGCTGTAAATTAATTTTTAATTAATTTTACAAATAGAGTAAATAGAATTTAGCTGTCTAAATCTGTTAAATGTTAATATTTATTTAGATTAAAAATTTAAAAAAATAGGATGGTTTACCAAAGTTTTAAAGTTTTAAATCTATAACTCGCAGTTATCTATTGCATTATTTTTTAATTAAATTAAAATAATTAACAATTATTTGCTATATATATAGAATAGTATTCATCTAACAATATTCCTACTTTCAGGTACTTTCTCTATTAAAAGTTGTAATTTACATTGCAATTTTATAAATTAAAGTGAAGAAACGGTTTACAATGTGGAAATGGAAACAGTCTGGTCGAGGTCGTTGTATTCACTCAACATCGAACATGGAATTTTTTCGATGGCGCAACGGTACAAGGATTCACCTTAGCAGCTTCGCATTCTCCCCTTTTCCTTCATCTTTTTTTTTTGCCTAAGGGTCTCGTCCGCTGGCACACTTACTATACATCTATATATTATCCATGGCGTGTGATACTGTGCATGTGTGCACGCGAGCACGCAGGACAACGATTTTCTTTTATCGTAGCTCGTTTTATCATCTCTGCTCCTTCTTTCGCTGTACGAACTGTTCAAGATAAGGTGGGAATCGAGCCGCATATTTTCGGTCCGTTCTTAATGTGCCACTTCGGTGGTAAATAGGAAACAACGTCCACGTGCGTTTGTACGCGAGGGAAAGGGGAAAGTAGCAAGCTCTATTAGTGTATTATTCGTACCCATTCCCTAATTGTAACCATTACTATACAACACATTTTTGTCATAATTATCGTAATAAAAATATTTCGTAGTATTTTGTGGAAATATACTATTACGATGTTGAAGAAAGTATATTGAAAATTAATTACGATATAAAGTAGTAAAGGTCAATAGAATACAAATTAAAGTGTACAAAATATTGTTTGATTTATATTTGAGTGTAAAAATGTTAAGAACATGAAAACAATTTCGAAAAATTTTATAAGATGCAAACGTAATCAACAGTTATATTGATGTCAAGCGAGTGATGGCAATTTTCAAGAACAAATATAGGCACTGAAGTTTTTCCTTCTTCGTTGTACATAAGTCCACTGATGATTAGTGATGGCCTTAAGATACTCCCAAGTTCAGTTTTCAGAATTTTGTATATCTTGTATATCTTTCTAACATTTATATTTCATTAATATTTTGAAAAGTTTGAAATAAATTTGGAATATTACTACAAGCTACATATTAGAAAACTTTCAAAATTGTCAAAATTTTATCTTTTAAGTGCATTGAAAATATATTATATATATTTATATTTAGATACTATATCAAATATCAAAATCACGTAAAAGATCAAATTTTGCAATACATGAGTTATAATAATGATACTGAAAAGGAAATATGATAAAAACTTTAACGAAATAAAGAAGTTTAACTGTTGTTCAGAAAGTTACAAGAAAAAGGGAATCTAATGGCCATCGTTAATGCTGATACGCGGGCAAAAGACGTGGGTGTACGCACACAGCGTCATATAGTTATCCACGTACGCAGTGCTTGCAAGTATGCACCGGTTACGTGTGTGTGCGTCGGTCCCGCAGGATATTGGCTTAGACGCAGCGTGATTGGCCGATCGTGCAACCAGGGACGACGATGCTTGTGCAAGTTTCCTTGTGCGTGCTATTCAGTGGCGTAACTTTGTCATCCATGTGTTTTTTAATCTTTTCTAAACAAAATTTATGCAACTTGATCCTCATATTAATAAATTAGAATTGTAAACCATTATCAATGGAAGTACTATTATATCTTAAAATTATAATTATGATATCATAATACAGTTCATCCTACGAAAAAATGGAACATGTCTAGGGAGTAGTGGGTGCAAACTACATGGTAAGATACTTTGCAAATGAAAATTACACAATTTTGTTTAAGACATTTAAGTCTTCCAAAATTATTAAAATTCACACTTATACTTCCGGAAAATTTTTTTCCAATGTTAGTTTCTCTTCATTTTCTTATCAGTCGACTATAGTTCGCGTGCTGATAACCTACTCATTAAACAAATGCGCTAATCGCTTAGCTATTTCGTTCCTTCAATGGTCAAAGTTATTTTCTTAATCATATACGGGTCTCCAGAACTATCCGTTTATTGCTAACGTATTTCATTCATTAGTAATATGGCATTTAAAAGTTCTAGTCAAAATAGTTCGCATCAAGAGCTATTGGTTACGCCACTGGACGCACGCACACACAGCAGCGATAATACGAGTTACGAACACACGCAGATGGCCACCCCTATGCGAGGAAAGCCATGACCAGCTCGGTCTAGTGCGTCTTCCATGCACGGCTCGTCAGTGGTCGCCGAGTAGGCCGTGGGAGAGGGTTCTTATTTGTGCTACGACTTCGTGTTGCTGCGGGTGTGCACTCGTATTGTGCCAACTAGCGACGCCGTTATTCTCAAAGATTATAACTACACAAAATTATAAAAGAAAACAACGGAACAATTACGAAAACGAACCTCAATGAAGATAACTGTACATCGCATAGTAAGAATTTTAAGAGGAATCAGAACGAACTCTGGACAACAATAAAAAACAGGAACTAAAGTCAAAATATTGGAAACGAATACAGGATATTTTTAGTGAATGGTGCTTTGATAAATGAGACCTAGGATTTGTTTGCAAAAAAAGGGTTACCAATTCGTGAGGATTAAAGGGATGTGAAGAGATTTGTTTTGATCGGCGGTTTCGCGCACATACGCGCCCCCGCACGCCATGCGCAATCACTAGGGACTAGATTCTCGCGGCAACGTTTTCGTAGGTTGGTTTCGAGGAAATTAAATGCCAAATGCGAGTGCACACACATATTGAATTAATTGTACGTCTCTTAGCGTACTCCTCGGCGGCCATTTGAACAGCTTCGTCACTCGGCGCCTGTATTCTGAGAAAGGAAAACAATCTGGTCAAGTAAGTCTTCCAAATCCTGCGTCATAGGTCTATTATCATTACATCAATTTTTCACGCGTAATTTTTCCACTGTTGTACAATTGTATCGTCCTTGATTTTATATATTATTAAAAATGTGATGTTAGTATTTGCATATTCTATATTACAATGTTGTAAAGAATAGAAATTTTATGTTTGATCGATTGCGCTATGCAGTTTGTTTACTGACTTGATTAAGGGAATATTAGAACTAATATTTTTATTATTTTAACTATTTGTAAAGTGTTCTCATGTTAGCTTATGTTCGTTTAAATTTAATTTATGCACTGTAAAGGAATCGATGTAGTTGTTCGAATTTCAACTTCCGCATATGCGTTATACGCACAACATACGTTCTGTACATGCGCAGTACTCCGTTATTAAATGAGGGTAGTTTCACGTGAATGACTCATGCTTCATGAAATATTATGTCTCATGAATTTCAATTCCAATTAACGATTTAATGGTTAAAAAATTATCCAAATATGTCGCTGTTAAAGTATTCGAATTAAAATTTTTTAATTAAAATTTTTTTATTCAAATTTTCTGCTATGTAATTTTATAAACTCAAAATCTTAAATGCTCAAAGACTAAACAAATTAGATGCTTACTAGTTATTTCACTTTTACAACTTGTTTCAGAACTTACTTTACTGATTGAAGTAGCTGAGATGGCGAGCACCTCACAACAATACTGTCTACGCTGGAACAATCACCGTTCTAACTTATTAATGGTGTTTGATGAACTATTGCAAAACGAAGCGTTTACCGATGTAACTTTGGCAGTGGATGGAGGTACATCTATCAAATGCCACAAGATGGTTCTAGCAGCGTGTTCTTCCTATTTTCAAACTCTCTTTATCGATCTACCATGCAAGCATCCCATTGTCGTATTGAAAGACGTGAAATATTCTGAAATCAAAGCCATTTTGGAATATATGTATCGAGGAGAAGTAAATGTGGCTCAAGAGCAATTGGCTGGATTATTAAAAGTCGCAGAAGTTTTGAAGGTGAAGGGATTGGTTGAAGAAAATGGTTCGCAAAGTCGTCGTGAAAAAGTGGAAACCTCTATGTCTCCTCCGCCAGCGATAAGCACCAGTACAACTAGCAGCGCAGCTCATAGTAGTGGACATACGTCTCCTCCACATTCTACAGGGACCACGTACAATATTTATGGCAAATCACCGACTGATCGAAGTAGTCGTTTACCGTTACCAATGTGGCCCTTATCGGGGCTTCCCATCACTCATTCCAGTTCCAGCCAACAGACTGCACTACATCAACATTCTTCTATCTTAATCGGTTCCTACGACAATGGTTTCGAATCTTCCCCATTGAAACGCAAGAAATTCTCGAATATGCTAATGAACAGGGATACACCGATTCTCAGGACAGTTTTGGGTCAAGGTCACGCGGATAGTTCTCAGGGAATACCTCTATTGCATCCAGATAGCCATGAAAATCAATTCAGAAGCAGTAGTAATGGCTCGTCAAATGAAAATGATAGACGCAGCAGCACAGATGTAGTTCATGGGGAATCTGCACATAGTCCTTATACCGATTTGTCTATGATGGATGAGGACGATAAACAATCATCGCCACAGTCGTATCCTGCGGACATTAAACCAGGTAAGAGAAGATAGATTATATTAGAGTATATTAGTATAGGATTCTATGCTATGTTATTGGAAACAATATATGAAAAGAATAATATTGAATATAAAAATAACGTATCAGTAAACATAATTAACTACTTTTTGGTACAGAGATAGTGAACTATGTAGCAGCACAAAAGCCAGAATGGAAACGGTACAAGCAATACACGAGGAATGACATTATGTCCGCGATTGAGGCCGTGCGCTCGGGAATGAGTGCCTTACAGGCGGCACGTAAGTACGGAGTACCCTCACGAACTCTTTACGACAAAGTGAAAAAATTAGGGATTACAACGTCACGACCATTTAAACGCGGTTCGAATGGCAGTGGCGCCTGTTTTCCTTATGGAATTGGTGGTAATACGAATGGCAACATATACGGTGGCGCACTTTCGGAAAACGAAAACGAAAGTAGTAGCGTTATCGAAGGTACTGGATCTATGCTCGATACGTACGGGTCGAGAGACGGTTCCATAAATCGAGAAATAGCCAACCCCATAGTGCATTCCGTGAAACAGCAAAATAACGAAGATCAGGTTGAAGATCTCTCTGTTAGTCGTAAATCGGACGTTCGTGTGATAGTCCCACCAACATCAGTGATCAAAGACGAAGAGGATATTGGTTCTGATTCCTATAGTCACAATTAACATAAGGTTACTTCTTCATCTTTCATTAATACCAGGGTATTCCTCTGGTAGCAACTAAACGTACTATTCTTCGGTTAAAATCACATAAAAGATTTTGGAAAGTTTCTAAATAATTTAAGGGCATCGATTTACGTGATATTGTATGCAGGCATTTATGATGTCCTGTAAAACGAAGACAAATTGTAATTTTATAAGACATTAGAATTTTAAAAATGTTCGTTATTTCATAGTGTACCATTCTTCGTTTCATGGGACAACATGCCTCTACAGACAATCACAAATCTGTGCCTCAAACAAAATAACAAGGCGATATAAATGAAACAAAAATGTAGCCAAACGGAAATCAATTAAGTTAACGTTTAGCAAATGATTCAAAAATCAGAAATGGAGTATCGTGGTAACAGTAAGACATCGAACATATATATATTCACGAAGAATCCGGTATAAAATCACCGGTATATGAGGTTCTTGGAATCCTCCTTTCATACTAATTTGCACAAGACTGATTCATGTGTTATGGGTTCAAGAGACTGAAGTATAATCATCGATTGTGTTCCAAAGTTGTTAAAGCCTAATGCTGACTATTATGAGATATAGTGCCTTTTCGAATCATTATACTTTACAAATTTAAAGGAAAGTGTCGATAGTCTTTATTAAAAGTTATTAACGAGGAGGAAACTGCACTAAATAGATGGAAATATTTTTATTCGAATGTTGATCGTGTATATATTTTCGTTTTCCATTTCATTTTCCATTCGTTCATAGACGCTTAATGAAGTACGTTTAAACGATTAAGTAAAGAAATTAAATTAAAGAAAAGGATTTTCGAAATTTCATAAACTAATTTTTTATCGCATTAAGCTTTAAACACTTTTGGGCCAAATTGCACAATTTTTTTTTTAATATATATTAATCATAATAATTGTGATTCGATATCCTCATTTTTCTTTTTCATTTTGCAATTTACATAGTAGTACTATTTTAGAATCTTAATCGATTTTTATAGTTTATAATTCCGCGTAAAAGAGGAGACGAGAGTGCATATTATTTTAATGATTTTGTTTTTAATCTTCTTTTTTTTTTTTTTTTTTAAAAAGATATTCCTATCTTTAGCATAAAATGCTCTCAATAAAACATGATTATATATAAAAAAATATATATAATCTGATAAAAAAAAAAAGAAAAGACGTTAAAGATTTGTACACTTCGAATAATTTCGTGTTATCGACTGATGATATCACTGTTAATTTGTTGCTAATTATAAGGTTACATTATCGTTACTGAACAATGGCCCTGGGATACAGCTGCAATATTGCTCAATATTAATTCATAATTACACACAATAGAACGAACTACCTCACTGTACAACGAACAAGATCGTTCATTATTAATGTTAAGACTGATAGAGCCGAATCTGCGTTGTCAGCTCGATAAGAACGTGTTTTATTTTACAAACGTCGATATATATATATATATGTACACAATAAAGGCAAATAGAATATATATATATATATATATATATATATATACACATATGTACATATAAGAATTACAGTTTACTTAAATAAGATGAAGTCACCGTTCAACGGTTGGATATGAAACCTTATAGAGTTACCATAAAAGAAATAAGAAGAGAATGAATTACAATTTTCAACCTTCTCAGTAAATTGATGTATTTAAATTATAGTTTATCCGCTATGGAAAAGACGTAAATGTCAGATCAATCTATTTTCTCATGTTAGCAAATTATTTGTATAAGAAAGTGATCGTTCACCTGTCCAAGTTGTAGGTTTATAATTTTATACTTTTGAACTAATGTTGATTTTAATTTTTACTTAATGTTTTTCTATTATTTTATTTCTGTATGGTATTTAAATTGCATGGAATCACATCATTGAGCTTAGATGTATTAAATACAGTTAATTCGGGAGAATTAATTTAAATTATTATAAATAAAGTTTAACTTTGATGCTGATGGAAGTCCAAGTATATTCATATAAAGTATCTATATTAGACCTACTTTGGACAGCTGTATAATCAGTTCTAAGTATTTAACGTTTTCTGTAGCGGCAATCGAAACGGATTATCAAACATATTCAATCAATTAGTTTTTAACATAAATGTCAGATTTTATTGTAACAATAAGAATCTTTACAACTTGAAGACAACATAGAGTGTTCATAGTCAATGGTAGAAGCTGAAAGAAACTAGTTCCACATACTTCCTACTAGAACTTAAAAGCATAATTACTATAGGATTTCAGTTTTTTTTAGATAGTACAAATAAGAGGAAGAAAAAATTCCGTTTATGTCAAAACTGCGTACAGTGAAATTTGTTTCTAACAAAGCATAAAAAGCTGATATGTTTCTTTCTATAAAGACTGTTCATTGTTTTTAGTTCTACCCTACTGTTCTGAACAAGTTGCACTGTACCATTTATTTACATAGTAGAATACTCATCAATAAGTACAAACCAAAGCTGCCTTAAAACTGTTTTACCTCAGAATATAAGACATTTCACAACTATGTTAAGCATATTTTAAATAGTGATAAAACGTGATGCAAAATTCTAGTTTCACCTGAATACTTTGTTCTTTATTTTATATACATTATAGTTTCTTATTATCATATGTAGTACTGTACATTAAAGAATTCCAAGTAACTATCCTTCGTAAGATATAAGATTCAGGTGAAATGAAAGCCTCTTGTTAGTTTTATAATAGAGTTATAACACCGTACCTGTAAACTGACTACAGTGTGATTATGAAATAGCAGAATGATATTTATATACACAAATGACTGAGTTCAATGTAAGTAAACATTGAAGCCATATTATAGTAATGAAAAAAAATAGTGAAGTTAAAAACAGTTAATAGTTACATATAATAATGCTAAAATAGGAGATGCATGATGTACCTAAGCATACAAAAGCTATTGAAATATAAAGGTTAAAAATAATTGCTTAGACTGAAACATATTAAAAAGACTAAATAATATGAAAACAGTGTGTTCAAAACAAAAAGAGAAAATATATAGTTATAATTTGAAAGTCGAAGGTGCTCAAAAACATATCAATACATTTCAAAATTTGTATTTTGAGATATTCTTATAACTTTGTGCAAGATAATAAACTAATTAAAGGAAGAAAGCAAATAATAAAAATGTCAACATTTATGTACAAAAAATCATGAAACTTTCAAATAATACAAGCCAAAAATATAAAATGAACCAACTGCAAAAACTGTTTTGTATTTATAAAATATGAATCTTAATTGCTACATAGATGCAATTTTTGATGCCTTATGAAAATTAAAAATTTTAATTATGCTAATTATCAAATTAAGAATGTACATAATCATGATTTTAAAGAAAATTATAAGGAAAGAGTTGCCTTTTTATTATATGTAAATTTAGCATTGTATTATTTTTTAAGACTGACTTTTTTCCTATGTTGAGAATTTGCATATACATATATTTACACATCATATGTGCACATATACACACATACACACAAAATTGCACTTTTGATCAATTGTAAGTTTTCATGGTTTACACGTTCCATTATAATATGGGGTTTCCCATTTCCACTATGTAGATATATGTTATTAGAATTGTACAAGTTTGTTATGAAATATATTACTCTATGAAACACCTGAAAAACTATTTGTCTTTGTATGTCTAAAATTCTGTTTTAATAATAAATAGATACACACATTTCTTATAATTGAAAGACATTGTTTTTCAAATTAATTTGTTACAAAATTTAGTCTCTTGTTTAATGTATTAAAATAGTTACTATTATAGATTTGCTATAACATTTAGTAATCAAAATAACAATATTTCTTATCTTATCAATAAAGTAGACATTAAGAGTAGTGAAAATTAGTTAAACATTTCTACTTCAATTATGTTCATGTTTCTATTTCATTACATTGTTTAGTCTATTTGAATAATACCTTCAAATAAATGTTGGTCAGTTACTTTAATGATAACATTTCAAGATCTGTTTTGCATGGTATTACAACCATTATACCATCTGTGGGACAGAAAATTGAAATGAAGTAGACAAACGTTAAAAAAAATATTTAAATTTATCCCAAAATAAAAATTATGTTAATGTGTTCATAATTTATAAAATGGAAGAAGTATTTAATCTTATGTTCTATAAACATTTGTCTTTTTTAGAAATTTATATTAAGGCTTTTGTTTGTTTTTTACGTTTCTTGTTTGATCATTGTGATGTTCCGATAATACCGCAAGAAATGATTTCCATTAGGTTACAAGACAAACAAAACTCGATAAAAAAAGAACGAAAAAATAGCTTCATATTATAATTATATGTTAAAATAATTATGTTAAAACGCGATGTCGATTGTAACTAAAATGAAGTTGCAACATTTCGATATCTTAAATCCAATATTTAATGACATGTTTCAGTTAGATTACTAATTCCTAAATCGTATCGGCCTACATTAGTCTAAAAAAAATTCTTTAATTAAAATATTTTACAACAATGAAAAATAACATAAGGACATAATAAAAATCGAGAAGAAATAGGGTGATAAAAGAATAAAAAAAAAAAAATTAAAGGAAGTCATGAAAGAAACAAAGAGGTAAAAGATGATATAGAATTTTATATATTCAGCAGGTAGGAACATCAAAGGGAAGAAGAAAAAATTATTGAAAGTCAAAATGAACTAGAAATTGTTAAAGAAAAACGAAATTATATTATTATATCAACGGGTACCAGGTGAGGTAATCAAAAGCCACCAATTATGTTGGATTGTTCTAGGTCAGTACATTTCATTCCGATCATTTCGTGCTTTATAGTTTTATGCCTATAATAATAAGTCTTATTCCAGACTACGCGCACGGAGAGAATAATTATGGGCTTGCGCAGATCACTTGCCGCAGGTGGGGGTGGCTAAGGAGAAATAAAGCCTCGAGCCCAGCCGGTGAATGCACCCACGGATTGCGAAATTTCCCCGGCTTGTTTCGTCCTCGCGGGTAATCGTAGGATCTCCGTCCCCATAAACCTACTCATTCTTGCTATTGCAGTAAGTTTTTCATATTCTCATCACTCCTGTGATACATGAAATAGTAAATGAGTGAGGAATCTAAATCGGGCTGTGTTGAAATATTTGTTTCTGAGACTTTGCGTTTTTCAGGATACTCTGGAACGTCGGCAACTGTTCGCGACGTTTTCCTGGATGCTGAGGCATGCGCCCTAAAAACTCTGGAATTGATGTATTGCAGAGCGCAGGTACAAATGAGACCATATCGCGTGTATACTTTATATTCGGCATT